TCCATACCATTTTTCAAATGGTGTCTTGCCATCAATAGCAGCAGATGGTAAGCGATTAATGAGCTGGCATGCATATGTAACTGCGTCAGCCCAAAATTCTTTGCCCAAGCCAACATTGGACAACATATACCGTATNGAGAAGACAAATGAGAGGTGTATTTAAATCCTAAACATTAGGCCTTCTTTTATAGGGAAAATTTCCCAACCAAATGGCTAACCCACCGATGTGGGACTTTGCCAAATTCAACAGTATTAACTCCTAAAACATATTGTAGACATCNCATCTTTCATTTACTAGGAAAGATATTTTCTATTATAATAATCATAACTTTTTGCCTTATACTTAGTACTTTTAACTTCTTGTGTAACTGATTTCCAACTGAAGTATATGTGCAATTCAGAAGGCTTGAATGGAAGAAAACATTAATTAGTTAGCCGTTAATCTTTATATCTATTAGTTTCATGGTCTTCTTTTGAGCCAAGTAATTGCTACTTCATTTGGAGAGATGCTCTTTCTTGATTTTGGATAGGCTTAGCTCTACCATAAGAGTGTTTAATTTGATGCATGTTCTAGAGATACTTGTGCTAAATGAATGCTTTGTCAACCTTTTATATTTTCTTTACCACACAGAATATTGAGTCTTGATTTGCAAGATGAATTGGAATACTTTGTTGATAAAATCAATTTTGACATATGAGTTTTACTCCTTAAAACATTTTATTTATATCCTCGTGTGTATTTTATGCCAAGTGAGTATTGAATTTCTTGAAAGAATAGACTTTAGTGGATATTATGATACTTGGGTTTATCATAACATTGCTCTTTTCTGGGAAGCATGTCGGAAACACTTGTTTAGGAAGTTATTATTTTGGTTGGTTTGTCTCTTTANTGGATGTCACTGTCGCTGTCCCAATAACTGTACTGCCATGATAGCGGTACATATTATTATTCTTCCGATTAGCCTTCATTACCACTAGTGCACCGAAGCATACTCTCGTCACTCCATTTTCTANAGTCCTTATAGTATTTTGAGTTTGATACATACATTTCACGGCATATGTAGTTTGAGAAATAAGATATTGGTAGATTTAAATATAGTTTGTACATGGAGTATACTTATCTTTTTTGTCTATCTAAATCATTTTTCTTGTTTGATGAGCTCATAAAAGGTGCATTATGTGCTTACTTAGGGAATTATATGACTCTCTATAATGATGTACACAAATTATAGACGAGTCTTTATGTTGCCTTGAAGAAAGTGGGTTAAAAAAATACATGGGCATTTTCTTCTTTTATTTTGTCATGCATATTTTTGGTGATGAATGCATATAGATACTTGATCCTTTTTCTATTTTTTAAGATTTGAATTCAGGGATGAATTCTTTTTTCTTTAAAAGGGAAGAGCTATGATGCAGTTGGGACCCGGGAGGAAGACTGGTACGTGAAGAGGTCCTCACTTCGAAAGGGCAGACCAGACTATAGAAATATGGATATTATTTAGGTACTTTTATGTTTCAATTGAGCTCTCCTGCAGCATTTAGGCCAAACATGAACTGCCTCGAGTACAGAAGTGGTAGAAGATGGATTCCCTTCTCCATATTTTAATACTAGAAGGTTTGGACTTGCTGATCCCAAAGTTCAAAAAAGATTGGTCGCACAGCTTCGGGAGCTCCTCAGTTTGACGATGGAAAAAAGCATGACATCTTACCAGCTGAATTTTTGCTTTGCTTAATCAAACATTATGGTATATTTACATCACTAATAAAGGTGTCAGGAACACTGTCATAGTTAAAGAAGTTTATGATGGCTCTAATTTAATTAGTAAATGCCCACATTTACTGTGTAGGGGTAACTTTATAGCTCTCACGGGCAAAAGAGGTATTGATTCATGTGCAAGAGTTTCTTCATAGTAAGTTTAATGAGAATACTGGTTGATGAGACAATCATGTTTTATTTGCAATTCGGAAGGATTATTACAATGGCCTTGAGCCTTATCAATAGAGGAGAAAAGGTTGGTCAAAGTGTATTATTTTCTGCATCATTCATTACAGGTCCTAGGAATATGTGACGAATTGATCATTTACATATACTTGTATTTTATTCTTCTGTGTATTTTTATTTATTCAAATATTTATTTTAATAATATTGATATTGTTTTATAAAATATATATTTCATGACTCAGTATACACGTTCATCGCACGTGGTGAGAAACTAGTATATAAAAATATGGGCTATGACATATTGTTGGTTTTGAATATTAAATCCGTATGATCATGACAATAACACTACAGCAATGTTAGGGCAGTTAATTTGATATTATCAATTTTAAAATCTTAATAATACCCGTATAAACTATAAAATTAATATTTTGCTCACAAACTCATTTTCTATGCACTATACCTAAAATTACAACATTGAAAAATAAATACTTCCCTCTTATCTCAGTTTGATCTTTTAAACGTCTTTTTTGACCCTTTAATTACGCCAAAAACAACCTAGTAAAATCCCACAAATAGAGTATGGGGAGGATAGTTTGTACGCATACCTTACCCCTACTCCGAGTGAGTAGATAGGCTATTTTCGGTAGACCCTCAGCTCAAGTAGAGGAAAAGAGAGATAATATATCAGCACTATCAACAGACAATAATAGAAATAATGACAGCAACATAAGAACCACAGAATAGATGAAAAGCAATAACAATAACCAGTGGATAAGGTCCGGCACAAAGAAAAACGGGAGAATAGTGTGAACACAACATGAATCACTAGCAGTCTAAGACAAAACCCTATCAGACTAGCCTCACACCTGTATGAAGTAATGCTCAACTATCTCCTAACCTACAACTCTAATGCTCGACCCCACACCTTTCTATCAAGGGTCATGTCATCGAAAATCTGAAGTCACGCCATGTCCTGTCTGATCAACTCTCCCCAATACTTCTTAGGTCGCTCTCTACCTCTTCTCGTACCCGCCAAAACCAACCGCTCACACCTCCTTACCGGGTCATCTAGGCTTCTCCTTCATACGTGCCCGAACCATCTGAGTCTCACTTCCCGCATCTTATCATCCATAGGAACCACGCCCACCTTCTCCCGAATATCTTCATTCCTAATCTTATCCATCATAGTGTGCCTGCACATCCACCTCAACATCCTCATTTTTGCTACTTTCATCTTTTAGATATGTGAGTGCTTAACTGGCCAACACTCAGCCCCATACAATGTGATCGGTTTAACCACCACTCTATAAAACTTGCCTTTGAGTAACGGAGGTACTTTCTTTTCACACAGGACTCCAGATGCTAATCTCCATTTCATCCACCCCACCCCTATGAGGTATGTGACATCCTCGTCTATCTCCCCTTCCCCCTAAATCACCGACCCAAGATACTTGAAACTGCCTCTCTTGGGAATGACCTGTGATTCAAGCCTCACTTTCGTGCCCGCTTCCCTCAGCTCCGCGCCGAACTTGCACTCCAGGTATTCTGTCTTAGTCCTACTCAACTTGAAACCCTTAGACTCAAGGGCCTATCTCCAAACCTCCAACCTCTCGTTAACGCTGCCTCGCGTCTCATCAATCAAAACTATGTCATAAGCGAATAACATGCACCATGGCACCAACCTCTCGTTAACGCTGCCTCGCGTCTCATCAATCAAAACTATGTCATAAGCGAATAACATGCACCATGGCACCAACCTCTCGTTAACGCTGCCTCGCGTCTCATCAATCAAAACTATGTCATAAGCGAATAACATGCACCATGGCACCAACCTCTCGTTAACGCTGCCTCGCGTCTCATCAATCAAAACTATGTCATAAGCGAATAACATGCACCATGGCACCAACCTCTCGTTAACGCTGCCTCGCGTCTCATCAATCAAAACTATGTCATAAGCGAATAACATGCACCATGGCACCAACCTCTCGTTAACGCTGCCTCGCGTCTCATCAATCAAAACTATGTCATAAGCGAATAACATGCACCATGGCACCAACCTCTCGTTAACGCTGCCTCGCGTCTCATCAATCAAAACTATGTCATAAGCGAATAACATGCACCATGGCACCAACCTCTCGTTAACGCTGCCTCGCGTCTCATCAATCAAAACTATGTCATAAGCGAATAACATGCACCATGGCACCAACCTCTCGTTAACGCTGCCTCGCGTCTCATCAATCAAAACTATGTCATAAGCGAATAACATGCACCATGGCACCAACCTCTCGTTAACGCTGCCTCGCGTCTCATCAATCAAAACTATGTCATAAGCGAATAACATGCACCATGGCACCAACCTCTCGTTAACGCTGCCTCGCGTCTCATCAATCAAAACTATGTCATAAGCGAATAACATGCACCATGGCACCAACCTCTCGTTAACGCTGCCTCGCGTCTCATCAATCAAAACTATGTCATAAGCGAATAACATGCACCATGGCACCAACCTCTCGTTAACGCTGCCTCGCGTCTCATCAATCAAAACTATGTCATAAGCGAATAACATGCACCATGGCACCAACCTCTCGTTAACGCTGCCTCGCGTCTCATCAATCAAAACTATGTCATAAGCGAATAACATGCACCATGGCACCAACCTCTCGTTAACGCTGCCTCGCGTCTCATCAATCAAAACTATGTCATAAGCGAATAACATGCACCATGGCACCAACCTCTCGTTAACGCTGCCTCGCGTCTCATCAATCAAAACTATGTCATAAGCGAATAACATGCACCATGGCACCAACCTCTCGTTAACGCTGCCTCGCGTCTCATCAATCAAAACTATGTCATAAGCGAATAACATGCACCATGGCACCAACCTCTCGTTAACGCTGCCTCGCGTCTCATCAATCAAAACTATGTCATAAGCGAATAACATGCACCATGGCACCAACCTCTCGTTAACGCTGCCTCGCGTCTCATCAATCAAAACTATGTCATAAGCGAATAACATGCACCATGGCACCAACCTCTCGTTAACGCTGCCTCGCGTCTCATCAATCAAAACTATGTCATAAGCGAATAACATGCACCATGGCACCAACCTCTCGTTAACGCTGCCTCGCGTCTCATCAATCAAAACTATGTCATAAGCGAATAACATGCACCATGGCACCAACCTCTCGTTAACGCTGCCTCGCGTCTCATCAATCAAAACTATGTCATAAGCGAATAACATGCACCATGGCACCAACCTCTCGTTAACGCTGCCTCGCGTCTCATCAATCAAAACTATGTCATAAGCGAATAACATGCACCATGGCACCACCCCTTAGATATGGCGTGTTAGTGCATCCAAACCAAGGAAAATAAGAACGGACTGAGCGCATATCCTTGGTGTAACCCCATCCGAGTCGCCTCCCACTATCCTAACCTGAGTTTTAGCTCCATCGTATATGTCCTTAATTGCCCTAATGTAGGAAACCGGCACACCTTTAGCCTCCAGGCATCTCCAAAGAAGCTCTCTAGGGACCTTGTCATATGCTTTCTTCAGGTCAATAAATACCATGTGCAAATCCTTCTTCCTATCCCTGTACTTCTCTACAAACCTTCTAATAAGGTGGATAGTTTCAGTAGTCAAACGACCTCGCATGAACCTGAACTGGTTGTCGGATATAGACACCGTCCTCCTCACTCTCACTTCTACCACCCTCTTCCAGACTTTCATGGTATGACTTAGTAACTTGATACCCCTATAGTTGTTACAACTCTAGATATCACCTTTATTTTTGTACAACGATACCACCGTGCTCCACCTCCACTCATCTGCCATGCTCTTCGTCCTAAAAATACCTTAAACAGCCCAGTAAGAAACTCCGAGCCTACTTTACCCACACACCCCAAAATTTTACCAGGATTTCGTCTGGCCCAGTTGCTCTACCCCTACTCATCTTACGCATAGCCCCATATCTCCTCAACCTTAATGCGCCTATAGTACCTAAAGTTTCGGTGACTCTCAGAATGTCCCAGTTCACATAGCACAATGTCCCAATCCCCCTCTTCATTCAGAAGTCTATGAAAGTAAGTCTACCATCTCTGCTTAATCTGATCCTCTCTCATCAATACTCTACCGTCCTCGTCTTTGATGCACCTCACCTGGTCCAGATCCCAAGCCTTCCTCTCTCTCGCCTTGGCCAGTCAGAATAACTTCTTTTTCCTGCCTTTATTCCCCAGTTCCTCGTACAGACAACCAAACGTCGCAGTCTAAGCCTCCGTGATCGCCAACTTCGCCTCCTTTCTAGCTACCTTATATCTCTCTATGTTTGCTCTCCTCTCTTCCTCGCATGTTCTTCCTATTAACTCCAGGTATGCCACCTTCTTCGCTTCCACTTTACTTTGGACCACTTCATTTCACCACCAATTGCCTTTGTGCCGGCCAGAGTAACCCTTCGAGATCCTTAATACCTCTCTTACCGTCTCCCTTATACAGTTCGCTATCATCGTCCACATAGCGCTCGCATCCTCACTAACCTTCCAGGATCCTATAGACGATAAACTCCCCTCCAACTCATAATCTTTATCCTTAGTTAATGCTCCCTACATGATCCTCAATTGTGTTACATCTCGCATTTTCGTACGCTAAAAGTTTCGTCTTCAGTTAATTGACGCAGACTCGGGGTGAGATTATCTGAGGTTAACATATTTACGCTATTTATAACCAGCGACAAATAAGTGTCATGAAGGATAAAAGGTACACGAATTAAAGAAAACGAGTTTCGTTGAAAGTGACCAATTTGGGATAAAATACGGGTTGAGCAATAATACCCATTAATTATGAACTAGTACCAATACAAAGTACCATATAGCCGTGATAATATGATGTATAAAGTATATTAAAAATGAGTAGTATTTTTAGGTAATTTGAGATAATTCTTAATTATACGGGTAATTAGTTAATTACCGGATAACGGGACATTACCTAGTTAATTATTAAAGTATGGAAATAAGACGTGGGAGAAAGCCACTACTAAGACATATGACTCTTAGTCATAATATCTTAGGTGGCAACCTAAAGTTAGGTACATAGTGACACCTACGTACAAGACTTATACAATTTGGTTTCCTCTATACACAAGCTTGGTTTTCATTGATTTCATTTTTATACAATC